GAGGAGGGGCTTTGCCGGGAGCTGCAGCCCCAGGGTGGGGGACCGGGACCCTGCGGGAAGCCCTGCGGCACCGCCGACCCCCCCCGACAGCATTGCAAAGGGCACGGGGGGCTTCCGAGGATGGGGGCGAAGTGGGGGGCTGCTCCCCCAGGCTCGGCCTCTCCCCCTGCACCCCATCGGCCTCGCTATCTCTGCCAAGCGTCCATGGCCTGCGCCCGCCGCGCAGGGACGGGGGCCCGCTGCTCCTCCGCCAGCGGCTGGGGGGGCCCCAGGGGGTAGGGGGACCCCTTGGCGTAGTCATCCCGTGGCTGGTGGTCTCCGGGGCCTCGGGAGGCTTCGCTCAGGGAGGCCAGGCTGGCCAGGGGGGGCTGGGGGGTGCCCGAGGGGCAGCCCAGCCCCGGGGAGACCCTCTCCGACTTGATGCTGATGGCTTGGTGTTGTGGGGAGGCACCGGGCACTGGGGCCGGCTCTTCGGCAGGGACGATCCGGCTGCTGACCCTGGGGTAAGAGGGGAGGAGGAGTGAGGCCAGGTCTCCCTGCATCCCCTGCCGAGGTGCTTGGAGTGGGGAGAGGCCGAGCTCACCCCCCTCCTCCTCCCTAGTGGTGCTGAGACCCCCCCCAACTCATCTCACATACCGGCTGCGACCCAGCCGGGCACCGGGCAGCCACCCGCCCACGCGCCTGGCACGGCTGCTGGGAACCCGGTGCGTGACGGAGGGGGGACATGGGGGCCAGGTCCCCTGGGGAAAGCCGCTTCAAAATAGGCTCTGCCGACAGCAGCGGAGCGGCGACCCCGAGCACCCCGGTTTTGGGGTGAAGCTGGACAGACTCCAGCATGGCGGGTGAGGGGCTGGCACCTTGGGTGCTGGCAGCACGCAGGGCTGGGAGGTGGCACCCATGGGTGCAGCAGCTCCTCATGAACAGGCTCATCCCCAACCCGTGCTCCCCTCGCCCCCCCACCCCGCCGCCATCCCCCATCCTTACCCCAGCGTTGCCATGTCCCGTGGGTGCTGCCATGCCGTGGGGCCGGGCTGCAGGAAGCCGGGGGGCGGCGGGGGCTCGCCAGC